ATTGAAGAATTGATCTAAGCACAAGATATCTCAATGATAGATGGCTACTTCACAACAAGATTTAGATGCCAACTAAAGAAGTCACTTAGTAAGAAGAGAGTCTACACTAAGCATCCAACGAATTACTTAACAAGAGAAGCATGCCAAGGAATGCCAAGCAAAAGACAAGTACGAAACATAAGGTAACACTCAAGGCAATAAAGAACACCACACTCTCGGGAAGACAAGGGTTACCTGCCAACTCTTCTTCCACCAAACCCTCCGACTCCGCCTGCGAACGCGCCATCACGAAGACTCTTCTGGGTAGCCTTGCTCCAACTACTCCACGGCTCGAACCAACTCCCGAGGCTCCTCTGACTCCTGGGGGTGGCGGTAACGCTCTCTGGCCAGCTAACAAGGGACACTCCGCGATCTTGTGACCAGTAACTCCACAACAGAAACACCTAAACGCCTGGCCTTGACAACCTTGACCTACGTGCATCTTCCCACATCTTCGACAAACAGTCGACTTAGCTTGATCCCGATGCTCCATTCTGATAGGTCCTTGAGAAAAAGATGACACAGCTCTGGCTGGAAGACTCGGTCGGGGCTTCTTGAAGGCAGAAGAAACTCCGCTCTCAACTCTCTTCCTGGCTAGCTCAAACGAACTCTTCTGAAGCTGCTGGATGTGATACAGATCTGTGGCACTCAGATACGCATCCTTAAGGGAACTTGGCATACTCACCGCCAACGCTTTTCGTGCCTCATAGTTCAGACCGGCAACGAAATGCTCAACCTTAGCAAGTTCCGTTGGCACAAGCATCCTTGCAAAGCGTGCCAGCTCCAGGAACTTCTTGTGGTACTCCACCACAGACTTAGATCCTTGCTGCAGGTGAAGGAACTCATCAAACATGGCCGCGCGCACATGTGCAGGATAGAACCTTTCACGCATCCGGTCCTTAAGAGCTGTCCAACCAAACTCTGGTTCCTCAAGAAGAGCCGGGCCCTCGTGGATCCACCACAAGTCCGCTTCTTGGCAGAAGTAGAATGTTGCCAGTTCTACTCTCCTTTCTTCAGGGCAGCCTACCACGGTGTAGATCTTATCAAACACCCGTAGCTACTCTTCTTGGACTACAGGGTCTTCCTCGCCAGCGAAGGTTGGCGGCTGATGACCCGACACTAAACGTCCTACGTCACGGTGCCCAGCAGGAGGAGGAGGCGGCACAGCATGATTGTTGTTCAACAGAGCTTCAATGAGCGTCTGCATGGTCTGGGTCAACTGATGAAGATTCTGAGTGAGCTACTCGTTGGTCGGGGTCTCTGGGGTGCGAGCACGAGGATGAGGAGGCATCGCAGCTTCTACAACAACAACACGATAAGCGAAGCAACAAACAAAGAACAGAAAACAAAACACAGCTCACCACGCAACCTAGAGTCCTAAGCCTAACACTTAACTTCTTAAGGTCGCTTAGAGGTCTCAAAACACACTTAACCACTTAGAAAGTCTAGACTTAACTCTTCCTAGGCTCAAACCTAGGCTCTGATACCAACTGTAACACCCCCCAAACAAGGCCCAAATAAAAGCCCTAACACATGCAGATTAAAGAACAAAACTAGCACAGCGGAAGATACAACGGAAACTGGATAAAAAGAAATCCAACGGGGTGTTATGCCACGTCTACCAAACCCGGTAAACGCTACGGCGAACAATCTGCAAGTGTATACATCTATCCCAAAACATCAGGCTAACTACATTGGCGCACATGCCACAAAAACAAGGATAAAGGTGCTAAGCTACCAGGCTCTAGACATCGCGCTCGTCTAAACATCACCTGAAAGATACAAAGATAAACATTAGGACGACACCCGGTCAGTGATAATGCTAGTAACCCACCAATACCGTTAAGTATCATATATATATAGATATAAGTCATAAAACCATTTTCAAAACGGAATACATAAGTATATAAGTCAAAAGCCAAGATCAATAGACAACACAAGACTCATCACTCTCAAAGATAACACCGGGAACACATCCCAAACCACAAAGGTTAACCACAACACAAAGGAATAAGACTCACCCATGGCAACACATGCCCTTGTGACTACACACGTCACAAGAAAGAGAACTCACCACAACGGCTACACAAGCCCTCGTGACATCACCCATCACAAGTTGATATGCCTTCCGTATGCCCTGTTCCAACCTTATGGCTACCCCCAACCGTGTACCTTCATACCAACCATTACCTCCAGGACCCTGTACTTCTTAGTCCAGCCTTTTCCCTCCTGGGACCGTCGTCCCCTACCAACAACTCGCCTACAAGACCACCAATTCATAGTACACAAGGTACCGTACATGGCGAAACACATGCCCGGATAACACATGTTATCCCCCAATCACGTGAACCTTTCTCGAAGGAACACAACTCCATAATCACGTCACGGCCACCACGAGGACCGCTGCAATACCTTGGTGACTAGCGTCCCATACCACTAATCGTGCAATCCAGGTAAAGCCACACACGCACCACAACTCACACGAGTCAAGCAACGCATTACAGCGAAGGTATGAAACCATACTCAATCATGGAATGGGTCCCCACCCAACGACAACAACGATGTATAACACAAGTTAACATCAACCACACGGAAGGTACGAACAACACACACGCTAGCATTAAAACAATAAACTAGCATGCTTAACAACGGGGAAACTCAAGATAGTTTCGAGGAACACACAAGACACCACTTGGTTCAACGAAGCACAATGTTGAACACTTAGCATGATTAAAGACACCAAAGTCCTACATGGATACCTACCATATAGTTCTAGACCTACGAAACATCAAGAAGACGCTCAAATAGTTCCACAAATGAACAACGGGAAGTCAAAAGATCAAATACCGAGACAACCGAATCACGGGGAATAAATCCCAACATAACCACAACCATGTACCCGTGGGTGGACCCACGGGTAGTGCCCCACCCGTGGTTCCGTCCGCGGGAATACCATCCCACGAGGTCTGTACCCACGGGTTGTGCCCCGCCCGCCGTTCCGCCTGCGGGAACATTCCTGTTCCACAACAAATCCCTTCGAGGATTTTCTTCTCCAAACACAAATTCAAGTCCAAAACATGCCAAATCTCTCCCAACACAACACAATGACTTGAACCATGGAAAATGCCAAACAATGGCACAAAGGAACCCTAAACATAAGCTCTAGACATGCCATATCACAAGATAAATGCATAAACCCTCACATTTCATAGCAAAACACAAGTAGAATCCAAGAAATCACATATAGGTAAGCAAAATAGGTTTTGTAGAGCATGGGTTACCTCTTGTAGACCTAAGACTTCACTTAACACCACCAGAAGCTCCCCACAAGCCTTACTTCTCAAACCCACTTCAAGATCAAACCAAAAGATCATAAAGATCCTACCTTTAAGAAAAAGACAACTAAGATGGAACCAAAAAGATAAGACAAGCTTAGATCTTACCCTCATAGATGCCCAAATAGGTGAAAGGTTGAATCTTGGAAGCAAAACTTGGAATCTTGACAAGGGTCTCAATTTGGCTTGGAGAATAAGCTACACTTCTTTTCTAGAGAGAAGGTAGAGATATTTTTCTAGGAATTATATGGAATGAAATGAAGAAGTCTTCTAGGTTAGGTTACAATACTAACTCTTTGTAAAAAGACAAGAATACCCTAGCTTTAGAAAGTGTAAGGAACAAGGGAACTCCTCTTAAAGCACAAGGTACAACACAACTTAAAGATTGACTAGTCAAATACTAGTCCTTGAGTATTAAAAATTAGGATTTTAGGAATCAATTCCTCAAAAGATATAGAATTAATTACTCAATTAATTCATGGATTGAAATGTGGATTTTCGGGATGTCACATACATGGATACCTACCTCATAGTTCTAGACATACGAAACATCAAGAAGACACTCAAATGGTTCCACAAAAGAACATTGGGAAGTCAAAAGAGCAAATACCGAGTCAAAAAAGAATCACGGGGAACAAATCCCCACCATTACCATATCACGTACCCGCGGGTAGGCCCACGGGTAGGCCCCTACCTGCGGTTCTGCCCGCGGGTACAGGTCACCCGAAATGTGTACCCCGCGGGTAGGCGGCGGGTTGGACTCCTACCCGCCGTTCCGCCCGCGGGTACACCCCTGTACAACAAATAATCCCTTCGGGGATTTTCAACTCCAAGCTCAAATTCAAGTCCAAAACATGCCAAATCTCACCCAATACAACAAAATGACTTGAATCAAAGGAAATGCCAAGCAATTGCACAAATGAACCCTAAACACAAGCTCTAGATATGCATTTTCACAAGATAATGCATAAACACTCACATTTCATAGCAAAACACAAGTAGAATCCAAGAAATCACATATAGGTAAGCAAAATAGATTTTGTAGAGCATGGGTTACCTCTTGTAGACTAAAAGACTTCACTTTACACCTTAACAAGCTCTTCTCAAGGCTCACCTTCCAAACCCACTTCAAGATCAAACCAAAAGATCATAAAGATCCTACCTTTAAGAAAAGACACCTTAGATGAAACCAAAAACACAAGATGAACTTAGATCTTACCCTCCTAGATGCCCAAATATAAGCAAGGTTGAATCTTGGAAGCAACTCTTGAAGTCTTGGCAAGGTCCCAACTTGGCTTGGAAGAAAAGCTACTCACCCTTTTAGAGAGAAGGTAGAGCTAGATCTTTAAAAAGTGTAAGGGATAGAATGAAGATGGTCTACTAGGTTAGGTTACAATACTAACACCATGTGAAAGGTCAAGAATGCCCTTACTAACATTAGGAAGTGTAAGGAACAAGGGAACTCCCTTCAAAGCTCAAGGTACAACTTTGACTTTGGGGTTGACTAGTCAATCACTAGTCCCCAAGTATTGAATTTTCAGGATTTTAGGAATTAATTCACCAATTGAAATCGGATTAATTACTCAATTAATCCATTAATTGAATTTGGATTTCGGGGTGTCACAGGTATTCCTGTTACATTATAAAATGCAACAAATTTGCAGACTTTCGGTGTTAGTGGAAACCTTCTGACTGGAAAAGTTCCTATCCTTGAGAAGTTGCAAAACCTACAAAGGTTCTTCACCGGAGAAAATTATCTTGGGGAAGGGAATGTTTTTGACTTGAACTTCCTTTCTTCATTGACCAATGCAACCAGATTAGAGGTGTTGTTCCTTGATGATAATACATTTGGAGGTTTCTTACCTACATCATTCACTAACTACTCAAGAAACCTTAAATTTCTTTCCCTTGAGAACAATCAGGTTTCTGGAAACATCGCAATAGGGATTTCTAATCTCATCAGCTTGCAGACATTACGATTGACTTAAAACAAAATCAGTGGAGAAATTCCACCTGAGATTGGATTCCTTACTAATCTAAGAGTGTTACGCTTATCTAGAAACATTTTTTTTTTTGGAAAAATTCCGTATTCATTAGGAAATCTAACCCTTTTATTAGAACTTAGTTTTGGAGGAAACTACCTTCATGATATTATTCCCACAAGTCTTGGAAAATGCCAAAACCTAGAGTTGTTAGATCTTTCTTACAACAACCTTTGTGGTTACATCCCAAAGGAAGTTTTTAGCCTCTCATCTTTGTCAATTAGTTTGGATCTCTCTTACAACCAGTTGGCAGGTTCCATTCCAAGGGAGGTTGGATATTTGAAAAATCTAGGCTACTTGGATTTGTCCTATAATTCTTTGTCAAGCCCTATTCCACTGGAGCTTGGTAATTGTATTTCCTTGGAAATGCTGAATGTAACGAATAACAATCTTGAAGGCCCAATTCCATCAACTTTGGAAAATTTGAGGGCTGTGCAATTCTTACAACTTTCTCACAACCATTTGACAGGTCAAATCCCAACTTTCTTGAAAGATTTCAAACTTTTACAGAATTTGAATCTTTCATACAATGATTTTGAAGGAGCAGTACCAACCACAGGGATCTTCAACAACACTCGCCCTATTTCGATTGCAGCAAATAAAAAGCTTTGTGGGGGTATACCTGAGCTGAACCTACCTGAATGCAACACTACAAAGTCCAAAAAGAAGAATTCAAAAGGTTATTTGAAAATAGTAATTCCTCTGATTCTTGGGATTGCTGGGCTAACTGTTGTAGTGTTTATTCTCTGTCATAGATGGTTAAGAAGACAAAGAAAAGGATCCTCTCATAATTTGATAGAAAACCCAATCTTAAGAGTGTCATATCATTCCCACTTCAAGTGCACTAATGGGTTCTCTGAAGAAAATTTACTTGGAGTTGGGGGTTTTGGAGCTGTACATAAAGGATGTTTTGATCATGATGGAACTACCTATGCAGTCAAGGTAATTGATCTTTTCCGTCATGGAGCTTCCCGAAGTTTTGTTGCTGAGTGTGAGATATTGAAAAACACCAGACACCGCAATCTTGTCATGGTGTTAACTGCTTGCTCAGGATTTGATCTTCAAGGAAATGATTTCAAGGCATTAGTTTACGAGTACATGGACAATCAGAACCTTGAGAACTGGTTGCATTTTAGCTCCCAGGAGATTTCCGAGATTGAAGAGATAGGAGGTTAAGTTTTTCTCAGAGGTTAAACATTGTCATTTATGTGGCCAGCACTTTGGATTACCTTCATAACGATTGTGAACTTGCAATAATCCATTGTGATCCCAAGCCAAGCAATGTTCTCCTTGATGAAAGCATGACAGCACATGTAAGTGATTTTGGATTGGCAAGATTTGTATAACAAAAGATTCAATGTTGTTCAGAAAATCACAGTTTCAACGGTGTACGGGGAACTATTGGTTATGCACCACCTGGTAAGTATGAGTTATATGTATTATAAATGACATGAATGCTTAAAATTTTCTCCTCTTTTTATATTTAGATTTAAAATTTTCATTTTTTGAGCAGAATATGCCTTTGGAAGCAGGTGATGTATATAGCTTAGGCATACTAATGTTGAAAATGCTCACTAGGAGGAGACCGACAGATGAATTGTTCAAAGATGGCTTAAACCTCCATAGCTATGCTAAGGCTGCTTTACCAGACATAGGAATGGAGATTGCACATCCAAAAATTGTTCAAGAAAGAGATGACAAGTTTCAAGTGTGCTTAGTTTCAATGATCACAATAGGGGTTGCTTGTTCTATGGAATCTCCAGCAGATAGAATGAACATTCATGATGTTGTGAGTGAATTAAGTAAAGCAAAGAAGTCCATAGCTTGTAGTCTTGGTTAGGAAAATAATGTTGTCAGTTAAATAAAATTCTATGCGTGTCTGTTTCTATCAAGGAACAAACGCCTAAAGTTCCATCTCCTCAATTACTAGAGTACATTTGGTTGGAATAAGCTTAGAATAGGAATTGTATTTTGCCCCGTTAAAATTTTATTCCGAAAATCAAACATTCAATTAATATTTTTTTGTGTTGTAACGTATATGATAGTAGAATTTTGTTGGATATCAACACACACTGCAAATGGAAGCGACTGGTTTTCATGGATCGGAGAAGAAAGGGAACCGAGGTTTTTATTTCTGACTAATAGAAAGAATGAATACAAAGCTTACAGATAAGCCTTTTATACAAATGTTACCGATAAGCCTTTTATACAAATGCTACAGACAAGCCTTTTGTTTCAATGAAGAAGAAGGAGGATGTTTGGCGATGAAGAAATAAAGAACGATGAATAAGAAAATAGGGGGTAAAGAAAAGGCGTTTTAATTGAGAGGAGTAAATGATGTTATTTATTTAAAATAATAACGATAAATATGAAAAAATAAGTTTAGAAGCTACTAATTTATTTTAAAAACATAACCAAAGAAAGATTATAGCTCATTAATAACTTATTAGTAGTAATGAATATATTATGACCGGAACAAATCGACCTGGGAATACAGAGCAAGGAAGTATGGAATGGGCCCGGGGCTCCAAGACACACCTCAGCCCAGGGCGTGGGCTTGGCCATACCGAGCTTGGCCGTGTTGACCCACGGGCCCAGTCCACTCCCAGGCATGGTCAACTCGAAGATGCAACTACCCCCAATTTAGGGAGGGGCGGTTGGGGGGTTTGGCTTGAAAAACCACTTCGTGTCACTAGACCACAATGTCATTAGTTAAAATTGTGTAGTATAAATACTCTCTCGTGTGCAAAGAGATCTTTGCCTTTCTATTCATTATGATTAACTTCAATTTTTAATCTAAAAATTTAATTTGTAACATATGAATCAATATAAAACAAAGTACACAATAAAATAAGTTTGGTAAGCTACTAATATATTTTAAAAACATAACCAAAGAAAGATTATAGCTCATTAATAACATATTAGTAGTAATGAATATATTATGACCGGAACAAATCGTCCCGGGAATACAGAGCAAGGAAGTAAGGAATGAGCCCGGGGCTCCAAGACACCTCGGCCCCAAGACACACCTCAACCCCAAGACACACCTCAGCCCAGGGGGTCAGTGCCTTCACATATTGGCAAGTCTTGGAAAATGCCAAAACCTAGAGTTGTTTAGATCTTTCTTACAACAACCTTAGTGGTTACATCCCAAAGGAAGTTTTTAGCCTCTCATCTTTGTCAATTAGTTTGGATTTCTCTTACAACCAGTTGGCAGGTTCCATTCCAAGGGAGGTTGGATATTTGAAAAATCTAGGCTACATGGATTTGTCCTATAATTCTTTGTCAAGCCTGTGACACCCCGAAATCCAAATTCGATTAAGGGATTAATTAAGTAATTAATCCTATTTCAATTGGTAATTTAATTCTTAAAAATCCTGAAAATACAATAGTCGGGGACTAGTAATTGACTAGTCAACCCCAAAGTCAAGGTTGTACCTTAAGTTTTGTAAGGAGTTCCCTTGTTCCCTTACACCTCTTTATGTTAGTAAGGGTATTCTTGACTTTTCACCTTGTGTTAGTATTGTAAGCTAACCTAGTAGAACACCCTCATTTCTCTCCTTACACTTTCCAAATTTTAGCTCTACCTTCTCTCTAAAAAGGTAGATAGCTTTTCTTCCAAGCCAAGTTGAAGCTTTGTCAAATCTTCAAGAGTTGTCTCCAAGATTCTACCTTTCATACATTTGGGCATCTAGGAGGGTAAGATCTATGTTCATCTTGTGTTTTTAGTGTTTTCTAAGGTGTATTTTCTTAAAGATAGAATCTTTATGATCTTTTGGTGTGTTCTTGAAGTGGGTTTGGAAGGTGAGCCTTATTAGGAGCTTGGTGAAGTGTTAAGTGAAGGTTTTTGTCTACAAGAGGTAACCCATGCGCTTACCTATTTGATGATTCTTGGATTCTACACGTGATTTTGCTATGAAATGTGAGTGTTTATGCATTGTCTTGTGAAAATGCATATCTAAAGCTTGTTCAGGGTTCTTTTATGCCATTGCTTGGCTATTCCTTTGATTCAAGTCATTTTGTTGTATTTGGTGAGATTTGACATGTTTTGGACTTGAATTTGAGCTTGGAGTTGAAAATCCCCGAAGGGATTATTTGGTGTACATGAACGTACCTGCGGGCAGAACTGCAGGCAGGGGCCTACCCGCCGCCCACCCACGGGGTACAAGTTGGATGTGGGCCTGTACCCGCGGGCAGAACCACGGGTAGGGGCCTACCCGTGGGCCCACCCGCGGGGTACAATGTATGTTTGTTGGGGGATTTGTCCCCCGTGATTCTTTTGACTCGGTATTTGGTTTTTTGACTTCCCGATGTTCTTTTGTGGAACTATTTGAGCGTCTTCTTGATGTTTCATATGTCTAGAACTATGTGGTAGGGATACATGTAGGTTTTGGTGTCTTGAATCGTGCTAAGTGTTCAACATTGTGATTCGTTGAACTATGATGGGTCTTATGTGTTCTTCGGAAATACGTTTGGTTTACCCGTTTGATAAGCATGCTAGTTCGGTGTTTAAATGCTAGAGTGTGTGTTGTTTGTACCTTCCGATTGTTGATGATAACTTGTGTTATTCATCGTTGTTGTTGTTGGACTATGATCCATTCCTTGATTGAGTATGTTTTCATATATTCGTTGTAATCCGTTGATTGCTTCCTATTGAGGTTTGATGCGTGTGTGGCTGTACCTGGATTGCAAGATTTCGGATTCTGGGGCCTTAATCACCAAGGTACGGTAGTGGTCCTCGTGGTGGCCATGACATGATTATGGAGTCGTGACCTGTGTGTCAGGTTCACGTATTTCTTGGGAGGCGTGTTTCGCCGTGTGTGTGATCGGTACCCTCGTGTACTATGAAATTGGTGGTCTTGTTGGTGGTTTGTTGGTGGGGGACGACGGTCCCAGGAGGTAACGGTTGGAACTAGATATAAGGTTGGGGGTAGCCATAAGGTTGGAACCGGGCATTAGGAAGGCATATCAACTCGTGATGGGTGATGTCACGAGGGCTTGTGTAGCCGTTGTTGTGAGTTCTCTTCTTGTGACGTGTGTAGTCACAAAGGCATGTGTTGCCCTGGCATGTGTTGCCATTGGGTGTGTCCTTATTCCTTTGAGTTATGCATGTCGGGTGTTAATCTATTGTGTGATGATAGATTATGCCTTGAGACTTCTTGTGAGTCGTTGTTGTTCCTTGTAGTCTTGGGATTCGTTCCCGTGTTCTTGTTGAGAGTGTTTGAGTCTTGTGTTGATTATTACTCTTGGTTTTGAACTTATATATATGTATTCCGTTTCGAAAATGTCTTTACAAACTTATATCCTATCTATGTATGATATTTCACATGTATTGGTGGGTTACCAGCATTATTCACTGACTGGGCGTCGTCCCATCTTTTATGTGTTTCTTTCAGGTGATGTTTAGACGAGAGCGCAATTTAGTGCCAGCTAGTGTAGCTCCTCTCTTATGTTTTGTGGCCTGTTTAGATTTTGAACAACGCATATGTTAGCCTGTGCGTTCACCTCTAGGTGAGCGTGGCATAACACCCCTTTTCTTCCGGTTTATATATTCCTCTTTCAGTCTTCCGCTGTGTTTGATGTTTTGGTTTAGATATCTGCATGTTTAAGTCTTTAAAATAGCATGGAAATTAAGAGGTGTTACAAAGCCCTATTCCACCGGAGCTTGGTAATTGTATTTCCTTGGAAATGCTGAATCTAACGAATAACAATCTTGAAGGCCCAATTCCATCAACTTTGGCAAATTTGAGGGCTGTGCAATTCTTACAACTTTCTCACAACCATTTGACAGGTCAAATCCCAGCTTTCTTGAAAGATTTCAAACTTTTACAGAATTTGAATCTTTCATACAATGATTTTGAAGGAGCAGTACCAACCACAGGGATCTTCAAAAACACTAGCCTTATTTCGATTGCAGCAAATAAAAAGCTTTGTGGGGGTATATATGAGATGGACCTCCCAGAATGCAACACTACAAAGTCCAAAAATAAGAATTCAAAAGGTTATTTGAAAATAGTAATTCCTTTGATTCTTGGGACTGTGGGATTATTTGAGCGTCTTCTAGATGTTTCGTATGTCTAGAACTATATGGTAGGAATCCATGTATGTTTTGGTGTCTTGAATCGTGCTATGTGTTCAACATTGTGATTCGTTGAACTATGATGAGTCTTGTGTGTTCTTCGGAACTACATTTGGTTTACCCGTTTGATAAGCATGCTAGTTCGGCGTTTAAATGCTTGAGTGTGTGTTGTTTGTCCCTTCCTATTGTTGGTGATGACTTGTGTTAATCATCGTTGTTGTTGGATTGTGATCCATTCCTTGACTGAGTATGGTTTCATATCTTCGTTGTGATACGTTGATTGATTCCTATTCTGGTGTGGTATGTGTGGCTGTACCTGGATTACACGATTAATGGTATGGGACATTAGTCACCAAGGTACGACAGTGGTCCTCGTGGTGGCCATGCCGTGTTTATGGAGTTTGTGACCTTTGTGTAAGGTTCACGTATTTGTTTTTGGGTAACATGTGTTACTACCAAGGCATGTGTTGCCATGTGTGATCGGTACCCTCGTGTACTATGAAATCGGTGGTATTGTTACAGACTGTCGGAGAGGGGACGACGGTCCTCGTGGGAATAAGGTTGAACTTGGTGTACAGGGGTCCCGGAGGTACAGGTTGGAACTAGATATAAGGTTGGGGATAGCCATAAAGTTGGAACTGGGCATAAGGAAGGCATATCAATTCGTGATGAGTGATGTCACGAAGGCATGTGTTGCCATTGTTGTGTATTTCTCTATTTGTGACATGTGTTGTCATGAAGGCATGTGTTGCCAATGTGTGTGTCCTTATTCTCTTGTGTTGTGCATGTCGGGTGTTAATCTACCGAGTGATGGTAGATTACGCCTTGAGCCGTTCTTGTGAGTTGTTGTTACTTCTTGTTGTCTTGGGATGTGTTCCCTTATCTTCATTGTGAGTGCATCGAGTCTTGTGTT